GCATGGGAATGTCTGGCACTATGTACTTCAGAATCAATTACGGTCTAGAAACGTGAAACTGTTAGTGCATATGGCATTCATGTACGCGTTATCCCGTATTGATACTTGCCAAAGAGCCTGCCAAACCACCGGCCATACATGCGAAACCAACGAAGAGGAAGAGTCGAGCTTTCCATGCTATCCCTGACCCCGAATAGGTAAAATCATCAGCTGTGAGCCGTGATTTATCGATGGAATTCACACTACGTAAAAAGTATATAATTAAGCAAGTTAGAGCGAATACAATAAATAAATGGCGGTTCGAAAAAGAAAATGACAAGATATAACGTACATTATCATTCCCAGAGTACTAAAGATACCACTTATCCAATCCTCCAACTTGATAGTTACCGGTGGATCTTCCATGGTGGCGGCATAGACAACAGCGTCTATAAAGAACCACCAGCCCACTGCGAACTTTGAAATATGGAAGAGATTCAGATCAGCAGCAAGAAACATGTACACAGCCCTTCCAATGTCTGTTATATAGTATACATACTAAAACGCCAGAAAAGTAGACCCCAATATCCCGTTTCTTATCAGCTAGCCTGGGAAATCGTGGAAGTGGAATGAGACAAACACGTCGGTCGTCGTAATAGTCGTCCCAACGTCCGGCCATGTCTACGTATGATAGAATAAATAAACGTTGGTTTCTGTTACGACAAAGATCTGGTTTGTGAACAAAGTGAGATGGACTGTGCGGTTGCACCAATGTGCTTTGTGATCTCAGACATAACAATAATAAAGGTCAATCAAATCTTATCTTTATGGGAATTCATACCTAAATTAGCTAGTTGATTTGATAGTAAAACTTGTGATACAGTGCAACTCTGGAGTAGAGCGCGAAAATAGTCTTATTATTAACAATCAATGTTATTCCGATCGTTCAGAGTCCAAATCATTATTACCGTTACGTTGGATCAACTATTTACTAAATTATGTCATAGATTCGAGTCGTCAGCTGAATTTGATTTTTGTTTCAGACATCTGTAAAGGCATAGGAAATCTAATAAAAGAATAATAATGTTTTCTTTAAACACTGGTTTTTACACCCAATCAATTGTTTTGATATGTTGTAAATCAAACTAAATAACCACCGATTACGATAAAGCAGCCATAAAGTTTTTTGTAAAGTCAACAAGTATTTTTAAATATCTATTATTCGCGCATACCGACTGCAGCTCCACTTTGCGAGTGGATGTTGTTATGTAAATAAGAGTCTCAGAATATCATTTTACCCATGTTCGAACACGACGAGGGTCAGAAATCCGCCGCTTAGGCCATCATAATGACTGGGATGTAATGTTTGCCTGCTGTAGAAGTTCAAACTGTCCGTTCACAGTCAAAACTCCATTGAATCAAAGGTTCTTTCAGAATGAGAGGACAAATCTTTACGTTTGAAGAAGATAGTTACATCGTTTAACCCAATCAGTGGTATCTATGCCACAATCTCAAGTATTATTCAAACCGCATATGGAGCAAACTGCAACAAACCAGACAAAGTGAACATTTTATAAATGAGAGACTGATTACGATGTGGCTGTAAAATTAATCAGTGTGACTGATGACGTTTTGAAAGCAGTAATGGTGCTCATTCATTGTAATGTTCACTTCATTAAACCAGAATGTGATAAATATGAAGCCATAACATGATTAATGTAGGATTATCTCCATATATTTTACATGTGATTGATGCAAATTACATTTCTCAAGGGAAGTGCCTATATTACTTAAGTAACAATCTTATTTGTGGTGAGTCTGGGAGTTCACGCATAAACGACATTCGTTCGGTTGGTGTTGTATTGCCACTATGACATGTTCTATATTTAAAATCCTTTGCGATCCGTTCAACGTGCTTCTGTCATTGTAAAGAGCGAATGAAAATTAAGTAAAATCTCTCATTATAAACAAAGAAAATGCGACATCTACCTCTAAAGATAGTAAATGATGGATCGCAACTCCTGCAAGCGGAATCATAGTCTTGTCAACTACCAGCCTGGTAGTGAGGAATGGCCAGGAACGGTATAGACCGTCGTACTTAAGATCCATAGAGTAAGATTCCATTAAATCCCCTAATTGCCACAGAAAAGAAATCAATATATCTAAACAAAAATTCTCATGTAATCTTCTCTCACATACCTGCGTTTAAGAATATTACGGCTTCACCCGGGCCTCCCTTAGTTTGTAATTGTTGGTTGATGGATTTTAATTGCACCTTCAGTCTGTCCTTGATTTGTTGTAATGGTGAACTTCCCAAAGGTTTAATTTCTGAATTCAAGATCGGTACACCGTTTACTATACATGAGAGATCTGGTCTCTTTTTGGAACCCGCATTAACACGGGTTTAATGCTAAATCGTATTCTTTTTCACCACTGAAAAATGGACGAGCGATTGGATAGACAAAACGTACACAATGTTCCTCTTCGGACAATTTTAACGGGGCAGTATTCATAGAACTGTCATATCTACAATGTAAAAAATATATATAAGCTACAATCTCATGTATATAATTATAAAACTACATTACCTACAAGTCATTAAACGATCGTGCAACTAGCCTGCTTAATTTCGACTTTCCACCTTCCATGTATGTGTCTATGCCGAGAAAATGGTTAAATGATGCTTCATTAAGAGATGACAGAATGTCAGGTGAAAGTGAGGATTCTTGTGT